AAAATAAAGATTTGACGATTCTTTTTTACTATTGATTCATATACATGCATGCATGCATATTTATGAATCAATAGTCATATGAATCAACAGTCATATGGACTGTGGATGCATGATTATCCGTTGTTATATGATTGCGGACGCGTATTCTTAACTGCAAATTTGGAGTTCACAAGTTCTCATATATATATATATATATATATATATATATATATATATATATATATATATAAGAGAGAGAGAGAGAGAGAGAGAGAGAGAGAGTTAGAATCATATATAAACTATAAATATTGTGTGAACGTATAACCAAATATGGTCCAATCATTTGATAAGGGTATTATAGTAAATTTATCATTTAAATTAATTATTATATTAAATTAAATCTCTATAAATTTGGAAACTTAATTAATATAGTTAATTTAAAATCCACCCTTTTAGAATTTGTCGTACCTTTTTTATCTCAATCACCATTATAATCGAGCATAACCGACACCACCTGTTCTTCATGTTCTTCATCAAGTAACGATCTCGAAGATTTCAATGGTGAAATCAGGATTATTGTCCTCGATTGTTAAGAGTAGATGACATCTATTCTTCCTCTTATTCCCTCTTAGTCATCGACATTTTTTTTCATAGGGACGACACGCTTGGGGGAGATATCATCTGATCTCAACTTCCTCTTTCTCAATTCCTTATATATCGTCATTGTTTCTCTATTCTCTTTAGAAAACGATACAACATAGCTCGAACTGGTGGTCTTCTTATTCTGTTGTATCTTTATCTCTTATGCCAGGTAAATCATCTATGTCTATCAAATTTCATTCTCTTTTGTTTTATATAATTGAGTTTTCCTTCAAATTCTCAATCCTAAGTTCGTTAATTGATGAATCATAGAGTTTATTTTCTTATGTAATTTGTATATACCTCAACATATATACCACAATACTCGATGATGCCATATATGTTTTCTGATTTCTTGTGAAAGTCCAATAAAATTGGTCATGGTGAATTTATTTGGCATTTTTTTTGTCATTCCAAAAAAAATATTATTTTTATAGATGATTGTAGTTATAGTGTTCTAGTGTCTTGTTTTTTTGTCAAAAGATTTCTATGTGGATGTTTCTATCTTAATTTTTTACTCAGATCTATAGTAATTTTTATATGCCTTGTATGTGTTTGATGAAATGTCACAGAGAATATGGTTACATGTTTAACTATTACAACTTGTTATACTCTGATTTCGTAGTATTGGGTACTTCTGAAAATCCTTTTCTTTTATATGTGATTTATTTTTTATTATTATAGAAAAACTTAATTGACATTTTGTGTGGTGAAGCTTATGAGTATTAAGACTTTAATCCGTTCAGACACATATAAATATTGGAGTTTTACATTGAAATTTTGTGTTTCAATATATTTGTCATTTTTCATTCTTTGTCATCTGATAATACTTTATCTAACTATGAGTAAGCTCTTATCTATTAATTTTTTTATGTCTTTGTTTTATGGATGTTTGCAATTGCGGTTGACACAATGTCAAAGTATGATGGAAATAGTAAGTCAATGGAGAAAGGTGCCTCCTCTACTCGAGTCTTAGGAGTAACTGGCACCTATTGTTCAATCTTTATAAACCTCATAAAAACACTGGATTCAATGCACTTCCTTCAAGTTTAGAGTGGGAAATATGATTGAAAATGAGTATTTAAGCAGAAAAAGGTTTGGAGTACCTTCATGAACATGTCATCCCTCCTATAATTCCCATATATTTCAAAAGTAACAACATCCTTCTTAACAAATCCCTCCATTTCAAATTGAGCAACACTCTACAACTATAGAATTGAGAAATAAGATGGTTTTTAGGTTTTTTCCTGTTTACAAGGTAATTTGAATGTGTTTGTAGTGGAAGATTTTTTTTTATATTTTCCATTCTCTTGAATGTTCTCTAGCTATTTTGCATCATATGATATCTTATGTGTTTTTGTGTGTTTAGGTTCAAACAAGGAGATGTAAAGATAGAGGAATGGGAAAACCATCAAAAAGAAAAAAGAGATTCTTAAAAAATGATGGCAAATTCTTCAAGAATGATGACAGATTCTTCAAGAATGAAGACAAATTCTTAAAGAACGTACTATATATCATAACTTTTTGTAAATTCTTCAAAAATGATGATAGATTCTTGAAAAATGTAGTATAGAAGGTTGTGTATATTCTTTAAAATGTTGTATATTTTCTTGTTTTATGTTATTTATTCTCTTTCTTAACCATTCTTTCTCATTCTTTCCTATTTTTATAAAATATTATATAAAGAATACAAAGAATGCATCTATTCTCACAGAATACTCTTGCCTTTGTGAAATTCTGATTTTTTTATTACTTTTTACATTATTATCAAGTAAATTTGTCAAATTTGCAATAAAAAATTTATTGTTATTTTGATGCGACTTGTTATTATTGTAATATTTATACAAGCGTATTATTTAAGAATGTCAATTCTTAATCAATCACAAGATTGGAGTTAGATTCTTTAAGAATGAAAGACCTATACGTGTTCACGACTATATGATCTGAAACATCGTTCTAATTTTTTTTTAACACATATGGATTTGAAAAAAAAATAGAATCGTAACTCCCTAAATAATAGCATCTTCCTTTCTTGGTGATGAATAAAAATGTCTATAATACCCTTATATGCAAAATTTTCCTAATAAAAGCATTGTTAATATGTGATGTATGACATACTAACTATGGTATACCATCACAATCTTAGTTATTAAGAATTATAATCCAATGGTCCAAATCTAGTCATACAATCACACAATAATTGTAATTCACATTTAATCCTAACCCATATATATATATATATATATATATATTATATATATAATATATATATATATATATATATATATATATATATATATGACAAAATTGCAAAAATGGTCCTTGTGGTATGCATTTTTTTGGGGTTTCAGTCAAAACCACGACTTTTTTGGATTGGTGGTCCTTTTGAGCTAGTTTCGTTGCGTTTTTGGTCCCTCATAAAACTGAAAATACTAAAATGCCCTTTTGATACATTTTTATGGTTTTTGCTATTTAATTTAAAGTTTTATTAATAAAAATTATGGGGCCCACCTCTCTCTCTCTCTCTCTCTCCAAAACACACACTTAACACTATCAAGAACACATACACACAATCTCAAGAACACCTCCACCTCCATCTCTACCGTCCATCACTGTTCACCGCCACCACCATCCGCTGCCAACCACCTCCATCTCCTCCACCCTAATCCCACATATCTCCTTGCTTAACCTGGTGAACAATCGATTTTCCAAGTTTGTTTCTAGAACTGAAATCGATTTTTGAATCTATAAAATGCTTCTGGATAATGGGTTTTCAAACGCTCATTTGGTTATTATTCTTCAAGGAATGGCTGCATAATCTGTTCATCTCTATCTGTCAAGAAACTAACAATTGAAACTGAAAACATCAACACAATTGTCTCCAAACTCCGACCAATCCCATCTCCATCCTCACATTTGTGCTTCACTGCCTCCCAAATCTGGCCCAGAATCCTCGTTGCGGCCACCTCAATCGTCGTCACCTATTTGATGTTCAACAGCCAGCAGTCTAAGGTTCTTTTTGGAACCGATCTAGACGCTCGTTACACCTACCCCTTGCTTTCTCAAGGTGTTTGCTTTGAGCCTTCAATCGATGGAGGATTTTATTAAATGGGTTTTTACAGGTGAAGAAGATGGATCCGAGTTTTGAGTCATGGTTTTTAACATAAGTTTCAATTTTGAATGGGATTGAGTTTTAGTGCTTCAATCAGAGGTTGTGAAGGGATAATCTCTGTTAGAGATCTTTTCTTCTTTTTGGATGAATCTAGAAGAAATTCTTGAGGGTTGGATCCAACATCTTCAACAGTTTATGTTCTTCAAGCTTTGTGGATTGAGCGGGGGTTTGATGTGCTTACAGTTTCTAGGCAAAAAATGGGTTGAAGGCATCTATAATGGTTCAATCTATTTGGTCGGTAGTTGATGAAGAGAGAAATGCAGGTGAGGCTAAACTATGTTAGGATTTCAATTGTTGGGGCGGGGGGGGGGGGGGGGGGGGGGGGGGAGGAGGGGAAGGAACCGATCAAGTGTTTCTTGAATGTTTGTTTAGAGAGATGAAGAAGAAAAGCAAATGAAGTCGAGAGAGAGAGAGAGAGAGAGAGAAGGTGGGCCCTTCTTATTATTTTTTATTTTTTAAATAAATTAATTAATATTAGATTTAAGAAGAAATGAAAGAAAAATGGAAAATAAATACCCCAAGGGTATTACAGTAATTTCACTATTCAGAGGGACCAAAAACACAATAAAACTAGCTCAAAAAGACCACCAATCCAAAAATGTTGGGGTTTGGACTAAAACCCCAAAAAAATGCATACCACAGGGACCATTTTTGCTGTTTTGTCTATATATATATATATATATATATATATATATATATATATATATATATTTCATGTACAATATCATGGTATCTCAAAACATAATGTGTAAATAAAATGAATGATTAAAAAGAAACTTAGAAATACAAATGATAGTAAGATGTTATATTAGAAAGAACTAAAAGTACATTGTTAATATAAAGAAATTTAGAAATGAAAATGATAACAATCAGCTTTCATTTGTTTTTCAATATATATGAACTTACTTGCATCTACATTTTTTTTAAAATTTTTAATTTTTATTTTAGTTTTTTATCTTATTAAACCATTGTACTTTAAAAGTACGAATCCATAAGTTTATTTTGTTTTTTTAATTTTACTTTATTTTCTATTTATGTATTTTTGTTTTAATTATTTTTCTTATCAAAGCATTGTAATTTGAAAGTACAATGTTATAATTGGGTGGTTGTTTTGAAAGTATACACAAATATAGCCTTGTACTGTTATAGGCTAAAATAGGAAATAATTCCAGAATAGTGGAATAATTTTAGCTGATATTCACATGAGATCCTATTTCCTATTTTTATCTTAAATACAACCAGAAGAAATCATGATACCAAACATTTTCCAAAATGGGAATAGAGTTGATGAGTTGTTCAAACTTGAGCAGCAACATTGAATTCAGGAAATGGACATCAACCAGCTTCTTTATAGATACAATAACTACCTGTCATAAACCAACCATGTCTCCAGGTTCTTGAATCATGGACTTAACTTAGTTGATATAAAAAAAAATCTACCAATATATTCATATAACATGGACTAAAAATTGTTTGGTTACTTTTACTAAACAAATCATTTAGTCTATATGGGTTACCATGACTAATATTGGTCCATTCTCCCTGGCCAGGTTTCAATGTTTGTTCCAAGGAATCATAGATGTATAACATTCATTGAATTCTCCCAAGAAGTTCTCCTTGTGATCCAATTAGAAGTTGGAAGAATTAGCAAAATTTTTGAATAAATTATGCTTGAGGACAAATGTAGATGACACATATGCTAACTACAAGCCAGTGTATCTCTCATACCACGTGAAACATCCTTTTAATCACAACAAATGGCTAAAAATCAGGAAAACATGATCTTGTTAAGAACAAACCAAGCAAGAATTTACATTTGTGACAAACTAATGAAGCAAAAAGAAAGATTAAAGAAAGTCAATCATAAATTCACCTCCATGGTGAATTCTTTTACACCACAAAGAAATTCAACAACTTTAGTCAAAATAGGGTCTTGGCCTGCAAATCTAGAATGTGGGGTACCTCAGTCTCTTCCATTTTTTTTGCATGATAAACATGTTAGAGCTAGCAAATGTATCATTCAAGCTTTCTCCTTACACCATAAAAGGAATTGTTTCATTTAGCCAACAAACTGAATAATATAAAAGATTAATGATATCTTATAATAAAATAATATGAAAAGTTATAGGCATTTCATAAACATAAAGGAATTTGTACAAGTAAATATGCATTTAGGAGTCCAAAATTGAAATGCGCATGCATCTGGTCAAAATAAATCAATGAAAGTTGAGCAAGATAAGATTTTTTTTAACTGCATGCAAGGAAAGATTAATCTCAGGCAATAAAAATCAAATAGATATTAATATAATAGTTACTAATCAAAACCATGTAACAAAAAAGATTAGATTCTGATCATTTCAAATTCATGAAACTAAAATTTTATTATCATGTGTTGTGTATATGATTTAAAGTGACACTTAAAATCATTGATTGCTCCTTGGGCATCCTGTCCTGGAATTTAAAAAAATCATCATTACATCATGAAAAAAGCCTAAAAAATATAACAAAGAACCTGGAATCAACAAACGGGGGCTAAAAGAGTATTTGCCTACTTCCCTAACACTTCTCTTTTGTTAATCGCTTGACCAACCCAAACGAACATGATAACATGTGTATCTAACATCAGCATATCATTTGGAAACATGTCATTTTGTTCAAAGAAAAAGGAAAAAACAAACAGTGGCTAGATTCAAGAAACGACCATGTAGTTTAAAAATCTATAAATTAGAAGCAGTACCTTCCAACAACAATGGCCAAATCACCTCTGATGGTTCCAGGCTTTGATTTGGATGGATCCGTGGCTCCAATAAGCTTCCTTCCATATCTAATCACACCTTTTCCTTCCCAAACCTGCATATATAAATCAACAACAACGGCGTAATTAAAATTCCTTGTTTCCTCACAATTCTCATTGCACGAGCTGAGGAAGTTGCACAAGCCATTGAAGAATGGATGATCCTTAAGATCATGATAATGCTTCCCAGCAAACACCTTTGAAGGTACCACAAGTTTAATAGCTACAAGTTTGAAGCCCTTACGTTCAAATCTGGCTATAATCTCCAAAATCTGGAAAAGAATTAAAGCTCAAATGATCAGTGCATTGACAAGTATGAGGGATTAAGGGCGAAATTAGTAAATTACCAATCCTCTTTGCACACCATCAGGCTTGATCGCAATGAAGGTTTGCTCCATCTGTGGAAAGAGAAGTAATCGTTTGTTAAGATGAAATCACATATCAATAATCTCTACAAGGAAGAGAATAAGATCATAAGAAATTAAGAATCATAGAATCTGAAAGCTAGTTTGAACCTGCAGCAGGAAGTGCGAGAGCTCCGGAAATCCATTTGTTGGAAGTGTTTGTGGAATCGGTGAAAGAAGCTAGAGCTGGAAGTGTTCCTTTCAAGGAAACTGCTGCTGGTGTTGCAACTGTTCGTCCTTCTATAAAAAAGAAGCAGAGTAAATTTCACATCAACAAATCTCTACGACACTTATAAAGCTCATTCATGAAACAGATTAACATAATAATTGTAATATTGAGAACTAAACAAGAAAGCACAATGTAGATATTACTAATCGACACAATTTGGTTCCAATGTTACTGTAATTTACAGAGCGCAAGAGATGATATTAAGATCTGGTGTTGTAAGTCATCACATGCTTATGCTAATGGAGTAATGGTTATATTCAAACAAACACACATGATATATAAAAATTATGCAACCACAATCTACATATCATCAATCCTCACAATCTCGATCCCCGATAGTGTAATTTCCAGAACGTAATTAGCATAATAAAAGAAATAATACTACGATCGCAAACTTTTCAGTCATATACAACATTTCATCTATGAAATCACGAAATTATAATCAAAGTTACCATAAACATATAATAATTCACAACCTACAAGCCGAACCTCAATGCAAAACGATTGGAACTAGAACGGCGTACCAAAAAAAACTCACCGGAAACAGCACTATGTTTGTGCTTGGAAGCCGAAGAGAGAAAAGACCTAGCAGCTCATGAAGCAGATCTGTAGATTTGAGAACTCATTTTCCTTCTCGACCGATCAACCAGTCAATCAAAATCGAAGTAATCAAATAGAATTAAATATGAAGTGGAAATTGATAAGCTCTCTTTCGGAGATATATTTATGGAGCGGAATGGAGTGAGAACAGAGGAAGGTTTGGCGGAAACGTGAGAAGAACCGCCGACTCTGGGGAAGTGGGGAGAAGAAGGAGGAATCGTGGGGACCTGAAGACGGAAGGCTGAAGTAACCTCCGATTAACTCCTAAATAGAGACTTATTACGGTCCAGATCAAAGCCTTGTTCCGAGTTCCACTTAAGGAGAGAAATGGGAGGATACAGAGGGAAAGTGAGGGGTGTAGAAGGAAAATCGTGTTCCCGAGTTTCATTAATGGAAGGAAAGTGAGGGGAGGAGAAGGATTTTGGAGTCATATTTTCCTTCCAAAATTTCCTCTCAAATTGGACGGATTTGGGAAGAAAGTGAGGGGAAGGAAAAATTTTAGTTTTATTTTCTTTTTTCCTCCTAACTCGGCAATACAAAAACTTAAAATTTTCCTTTCATTTCTTTTCATTTCCTTTGATCTCGGGAACACGGAATAATGAATATTTTCCTTCACCTCCCTTTCTTTCCGTCAAAATTTTCCTTCACTTTCCCTTAATGAATTTACAAAAAAACTCGGGAACAAGGCGTAAATGTTGAGAAAGTTTGAACGGCTGTACGAAGAAGACAGTTTTCCACTCACCGTCAATAATAGTATAAAGATTTGTGAATTTTCTACCCACCATAGTTACACCCTCGTAGTCCGATTGAATAACAGAGTCATTAAAATTATTAGCCATAACACGAACAAAATCAGTCTCATACCTTTCGTTTTCTTTTCTAACTGCACTGAAATCTCAAAAAATGATGTAATTCCCTGCTTGTCTACTCATAAAATCCAAAAAAACATTTTTTTTACCAACCTCATGCGGAGCATATATCCATTAATAATGCAAAACTTTAACTCCGTGTTCATCCCACATATAAGTTGGGGGTGTTTTAAGCATTTAACCATGAAATTTCGAGTTTTGGAAAATGACCACGATATTCGCACAGGGGGCTCTGCGGATCCCTTTAATCCTATGAGGAACGATGCACAGTACTGAGGAAATGACGTGGTACCACTAAATGACAAAATATTTTGTGGCTATAATAGTTCCACAGAGGTGGCTTTGCGGATCCACCGTACACCTATGCGGAAGTTAAATATCTCTGAGGAATTGGTAGTTGACTGATCCGCAAAGCCGTCTCCGCGGATCTATGCTACGCCTCTACGGAAATCTTTATTTCTCTGCGGAAATGGTAGTTGTAGTCGTGTTTAAGCATTAATTGACGATTATATATGTTTTTTTCAAGATATTATCATTTTTTATGACTTTTAGTGACCAGAAACGAATTTTTTCATTTTTATGAATGCTTTAATCACTAGAAATATTTTTTTTGTTGTCTTTGTGGAGAGTGTTTTGTAAAAATGATTTTTATTATTTTGTGTATGTGAGGGTTGTGGCAGTTAGTTAATGGAAATGGGGTTTACGTTAGAAATAATGAGAACTATGGTTTAAATATTCCTCCTAATTTTGACCATCAGATGTTATTACAAATTGTTAGAAATAAGACTGGTGTGTTCAATAGTCATATATCTTCGTCTTTTAAACACCCGGAGTGTGGGTATGTCATGGAGCTTGCAGATGAATCAGATGTAGTTCACCTGAGACATGTACTGTCTGAAACAAAGTAGATAGTACATTTTTATTTATCGGTGGTAGGTAAAGAAGTTGGAGAACAACCGGTGGTGAACAACCAGTTTATTGGAGCAAAAAGTAGTAGAGGTCGAGGAGAAAGACAATCCGGTGGAAACCGGTCCAGGGAACGAGGAAATGACGTGGGAGTGGGTTATGAAAAGAAAGATTCAGTTGTTGATAAGTTTGTATCAGATAATGATAACTTTTTTATCAGATAATGATAATGAAACAAATTTGCACATGACAGAATTAGAACATCAAAATTTATTTGAGCTTGGAGAAGTACCTGATTTTGATGATCAATTATATGATGAAAAATCAAAAGAAGGCTGGTCAGAAGATGAGTTCACGCAACGGAAAATTGTTTTTAATCCCTGTCATTGTATTCCTCCTATTCCTAATTGTCCAGAACCTATTCTTGAACCTAGACCATTTCACAATTTAGGTCCGAATTATAAAATATTTGTGAATCAAACCTATAAAATAAAAAAAGACTTAAAAACTTATGTTAAATTCAAAGCGGTTAAAGAAAAGTTTCAAATTAAGGTTAAAAATCAAGGAAATCTCGATACGAGGTTGTTTGTTTGCAAGAAAACTGTCATTGGTGTTTATATGCACATGTCATTAAAGGAACTAAAATGTTTGAAATTAAGACTTTTAATGAGGAGCACACATATTCTTCATTACTTATACACCCAAATCATAGGCAAACAACTAGTGAAGTTGTGGGAACCATAATACATGACATTATGGGTCGAGGTAGTTTGAGAGTTTGGAGGCCTAAAGATATTATTAGAGATAAGAATGTGTTGCTAGAAATTAATTTGAATTATTCACAAGCGTGACATGCTAGAGAATTTGCTATGGGATTGATGACCGGGACCCCCGAAGAAATTTTCTCCAAACTTCCTATTTATTTTCACAACTTGAAGAAACATAATCTCGGGACTGTGGCGTACATACAAACTGATTTGGAGGATCGCTTCAAGTATTGTCTTTTCGCTATTGGTTATGCGGTAAATAAATAAATTAAATTTAAAACTTTGTAAATATATAATGTTTATAAAAAATAAAATTTTAATATATTCATGCTTTTTACAAAATTGTTGTAGATACCAGCTTTCAGAGGGTTTTGTAGAAAAGTTATTATTATGGATGGTGCCCATCTGAAGGGAAAGTACAAAGGCACCATATTGCATGCAATAGCCATGGATGGAAACAATCAGATATTGTCTATTGGGTATGGAATACGCCCCAAAGAGACTACGGATTCTTGGACATGGTTCCTTGAAAAACTACATGAATGCATTGGTGATTTGGAAGGTCTGACATTGGTAACGGATAGGGTTGCATCAATTGTCGTAAGTATTCAAAAAGTTTTTCCAAATGCTCAACATGGCTTGTGTGGTTTTTATCTAATAGGAAACATACTGCACACCTTTAGAAAAAATTAAAAAAAAAATAACAATTCTATTTTGGAAGCTTGTAAGAGCTTAAAAGACCACTGAGTTTGAACAATATTGGGGGAGACTTTGTACTCTTAGACCAGATGTAGCGGCGTACCTTAGTTAAATTCCACGTGATAATGGACTAGATCACATTGCCCTACCATGAGGTACGATTACTTGACCTCAAACAGTGCAGAGTCCATGAATGTTGTATCAAAACATGCAAGGAAGTTGCCTATATTACCACTTCTTGAGTTCTTCCGCACGCTTATGCAGAAATGGTTTTACCAACGTCGGGTGGCTGCAGGTATGACTAAAATTTTGTCAAATTATACGATAAATGTCATATATAATGATATATCATTGTTTTAACAGAAAAAGTACAACAATACTTACGACGTGGTCCGAAGCTATGGTTAAAAAATTAAAGACGGGATAACAGGATGGTCGGTATCTGGTGTTGACAATGCAACATATCAAGTCCATGACTTCAAAAGTAGTGGCATGGTTGATTTGAGGCAAAAGACTTGTTCTTGCAATTATTGGCAACTAACTGGTTTGTCTTGTGGTCATGTGATAATGGTTTTAACGCACTTGAAAAATGAAAATTGTGGGCATATGGCTATAGATGCTTATAAAATTGAAATGTGTCGAAGAACGTACGAGGAGGCCGTCTACCCCCTACCAGAACATGATGATTGGGAGGTTCCTAATGACCTTATGGTTGTTAACCCTCCTGTAATGGAAATACGCCAAGCAGGTAGACCAAAAAACACTAATCGTATCCCCTCACAAGGTGAGAAACCGAAAATAAGAAGATGTAGTAGATGCCATATTACAACACATAATGCAAGGACATGTTAGGAAATTGTCCCAAAGAAGCAAATTAAAAGTAGAAAACGTAGTGGGGCTTCAAGAAGTGGGACGCAGGCGACAGAAGAAGAAGGGACGCAAGCGACAAAAAACCAATGGAAGCAGGAGGTAGAAATCCAATGGACGCACGAGACATAAAACCTAGGGACACAAGCAACAGAAAACCAAGGGACGTAAGACTCACAAAACCAATGGACGAAATACGAAGACGAAGCATACTTTCCATGGTTCGATTTGAATGAATGAAGTTTTTTTTGAATTTTTTTATTATGAAGTTTGTATAAGACAAAAAAAAATTAGTATTCCAACAAACTTTTGCATTACTATTTCATCAACTCCACAGCAAAGTAGTGTCAATTATGTAGTACTGTTTCATCTACTCTGTATCAAATAGTGTTAGTTCCGTTGTAGTAATATTTTATTATATTAAACTTACGGTTTCATCAGTAAGGATTTTACTATAAAATGACTTTAGAATGTGTATCATTTCATCTACTCTGTACCCTATCTTCGATTCATTTTTCTGAAAAATTACCCCTCATATTTTCACTCACAATGGGTTCCAAACCATGGAGCGCCGAGGAGCACCTACGTCTAACTTGTGCATATATTAATGTGTACGAGACCATCAGTGTGAATGATCCAAGTTTTTGACCCGTTTAACCTATACCTTCAACGCTGACCCTCAAACCGCCGCATAAAACTATCGTAACACCGTTGATATCATAGCAAAATGGTATGAAGTAAAAACAAAAATTTTGTTATTCAATTATCTTTATAACAAAATTGATGACACATAGTTGAATGAAGATGAAGTGATCTTGGAGGCGGCGAAAGAGGAATACAAATCCGTTAGCGACGAGTCGGAATTCGAGTATGAAGCCCTTGGAATCTTATAAAAGATCTCCCGTATTTTTAATTTGTATTGCGTTTGTAGTAGGTTATTTTTATGTACTTGGTTTTTATTAGATTATTTAGATTTATTTGGTTATTATCAGGTTATTTATATGTAGTGCTTTGTATCAGGTTATTTTTATGTATTTGGTTTTTATTACGTTATTTACGAAATAAGTTCTTTATTCCATGGAACAGAAACTACAAATACATGGAAACAAAAAAACACAAACATTACAAATAATAAGATAAAGCAATAGCAAACATTACATAAACATTACGCATAAAAGATTACCGTCTACATGAAATACTGGTTTTTTTAACCACATTCCAAACGTCCTCATATTCGAACTCACTTCCATCACGCTCCATCATGTAATGATCTTTAACAACTTGTAAAAGTTCTTCATCGTCTGCGTAATAATATGACCTATTTTTAACATAATTATACCATCTATTGAACCATGTGATTTTTCCTTTAATTCAATCCACTTACTAACAATATCTGCTTTAAGCCGATGTTGTCCTTCTTCCATCTCATGGTTGAACAAACCTGTTATGCAGGTCCATTCATCACCTATAAGGAAATGAGGGGGAGCTATTGGTGTTACACCCTCGTAAACGTTCATCTAACATCGTGTTAGGACCATCACCTCTCTTTTCGTCCATGGACATGGAGCATCGGACGATGTCACTGCATTTGAAGAAGTTGGTACATTGCAGGCTATTTCAGAATAAAGGTGTGAGTTTATTGAAGAATAAATGATTACTTAAATAAGAAAAATGACTGTTGGTTGGCTCTGCGGAATAAGAAACAACGTTGAGGACTGACAAACAGATCTGCGGAATGAGAAACAGCTCCGCGGACTAACAACAAGCTCTACAGACTAACAAACAGCTCTACAGATTGACAAACAACCATGTGGAATGAAAAACGGCTCTGTGGAATGACAAACAACTCTGCGGATTCTCAAACAGTTATGATGACTGACAAACTGCTTTGTGGATTCCCAAACAGC